ATGAGTTCTGTTCCAGGAGAATTGTTCATAAGCTGACAAAATGAATCTTATACAGCACACCTGTGAAAGTTCACAACTTGAATGTTTATAAATTGAGGACTTACTGTACAGTAAAACCTTGATTTGTGAGCATAAGTTTTTCAAGAAACATGCTTGTAATGCAAAGCAATTGTATATCAAAGTGCATTTCCCCATAAGAAATAATGGAAACTCAGATGATTTGTTCCACAACCCAAAAATATTAATATCAAAATGATTACAAAACTGTAATATAATACAAAGTAATAAAATACAGGCCACCACTACCAGGTCAACGTGCCAGAGCCGTGAGGGGACGGGCCACACACCTCTCTTCTTTGCACCGCCGGTCGTCTGTGTCCTCAGACTTGTGCCGGGAAACTGTTGAAACATGGTGGATTACTATGAAGTTCTAGGCGTGCAGAGACATGCCTCCCCCTAGGACATCAAGAAAGCATACCAGAAACTGGCACTAAAGTGGCATCCAGATAAAAATCCTGAGGATAAAGAAGAAGCAGAGCGAAAATTCAAACAAGTGGCTGAGGCGTATGAGGTGTTATCAGATGCTAAGAAACGGGACATTTATGACAAATACGGCAAAGGATTAAATGGTGGTGGAGGAGGTGGAAGTCACTTTGACAGTCCATTTGAGTTTGGTTTCACATTCCGGAACCCAGATGATGTCTTCAGGGAACTTTTTGGTGGAAGGGACCCATTTTCATTCGACTTCTTCGAAGACCTATTTGAAGACTTTTTTGGAAACCGAAGGGGTCCCCGAGGAAGCAGAAGCCGTGGTGCGGGCTCCTTTTTCTCTGCCTTCAGTGGATTTCCATCCTTTGGAGGTGGATTTTCTTCATTTGATACAGGATTTACTTCATTTGGCTCCCTAGGTCATGGTGGCCTCACTTCATTTTCATCCACATCATTTGGCAGCAGTGGGATGGGTAACTTCAAATCTATATCAACTTCTACTAAAATTGTTAATGGTAGAAAAATCATCACAAAGAGAATTGTCGAGAATGGTCAAGAAAGAGTAGAAGTTGAAGAAGATGGACAGTTAAAGTCCTTAACGATAAATGGTAAGGAGCAGCTGCTACGCTTGGATAACAAGTAATTCAACACATGCATTTCACAGAAATGTTAAACTATAACAAGCACCATTTGAGGATTAACAGGAACATTTTTTTGAAGATTTCAAACAAACTCAACTTTC